AAAAAAAAAAAAAAGTACACAAAGGTGAATATAACAACACTCACATGGAATGGGGTCCAATTAATTTTTTATTTTACTGAGTCCCACTCAATGTGAGTATTATGTACAATATTATGTACTTGTAGCATTACATTTCAAATTTTTATCAATATAACGTGCACTCGTTTGTTAGGCCCTGTGACGAGACTCGCATCGACAAAAGGGGGGGTGGCGAAGAGATTATAGATTTGATTTTATATTCAGATGAAAAATAACTAGTTTGTGGTTTGCTTTGTAATTGGTTCAATTGAAAATCCACTTTGTCATCTCTATGTTCAGATGATATTGCAAGATCAATGCTACCACCAAATTATTGTTCTGAGTTCAAACCAATGACACTCGCTAGTTTTGGCAAATTATATTGAGCTAATCTTAGTTTATTAGAACAAGGCAACATATGAAGAAGCAATTCATAAAGACAGGCTTGCAGTCTATAATTCATATGTGAAGATAAATCTGACATTAACAAACATCCCTCAAAAGAGTGCAATCTATCAAAGTGAAACCCAACATAAAAAAACAAAAACAAACAGGGCTGTTGAACTTGTCTAGTGCATCAAAACAACTCAATTCTTTCAAACTTTCACAGCTAACACAAGCATACCTTTCCCACCAAAGCCATTCGAATTTGAATTCACTCATGTGGTGCGCCAGTAAGCTTTATATCCTCTTCTTCACCATCAAACTCTTGCTCCACGCCCTTCACCTCGGGCACATAATGCATCAGCATATTCTCGATCCCGGATTTCAAGGTGACGGACGAGCTTGGGCACCCACTGCACGCCCCTTGCATTCTGAGCTTCACAATTCCAGTGTCGGGCTCGAATTTCACATACTCGATATCCCCACCATCATCTTGCACTGCCGGGCGAATACGAGTCTCTAAAAGCTCTTTGATCATGGCAACAGTCTCTGAGTCGTCCTCGTGTATGGCCGTGTCCATCGAGGCTATAGTTGTCGAGTCCAAGATTAATGGCTGCCCAGATGAGAAGAAATCCATTATGGCTGCAAAAACATGAGGTTTTAGCAGATCCCATGAGTTTTCGTCCGATTTTGTCACAGTTATGAAATCTGATCCGAAGAAGACCCGAGTAACCCCTGTGTCAGTGCAAAAATTGAAGACACATTATGAAACATGAAGTTCCTTACACAACATGATCACTTCAAGTTGTGTAATGCAATATCAGCATTTAGTTTTATACTGGTATAAGATATGTTAGAGAATAGGCAATGCGTAAAAAAAAAATTGAAGTGCTAAAATGCAAGCATAATGGGATTTATCACATTCATAATAATTCATAATATTCTTGATGATACTTTTTAACACAGATCCCTTTCATATGATGGATTTTTCAGTAAGTCACATTCATGACTCCTGTAAACTTTCTCTGCCCATCGTGTATCAGTTATCACCACTGCATTCTTGTCCGAAAGCTTGATGAAGTAACTTTTTGCGTTTGGCCAAATTAGTTGAAGGGTTCAAAATTAGAAGATGCTAGCTTTCTATGTTGATAAATTTTTAACTAATATCTAATAAAAGAAAAGAAAAAAGCTACCATTGCATAATCAAGATTCAAGAAAGTACAGGTCAGTCGTGAAAAAAAAAAAAAAAAGGTTGAACATTATGCCACAAGAATCAAGCTACCAGAATTTGTTGTCCGGCGAAGAAATTTCCAGCTTTACATCCTTAATGGAACTTACTGCCATTATTTACCCCAAACATATATGAAACACTTTTTTTTATCAACAATAATCTTCATAAGCAGATATAGAGGGAATAATAAATCTCAACTCTTTTACCAATAGCAGATTACCTAAACTCCCCTTGAAATTCTTTCACACTGTATTTCTGGCAATTGTAGTGTTTGTATGGTTCAGAACTTCAAACAGGTCGTGTGTGTGTGTGTGTGTGTGTGACACTGTGTGTACTTTACGGGACAAAAGACAACATGAATTACTTGACACCACAAATTTAATATATGTCTATTAGGTGGAATTGAGATCCAAATAGGAAGTCCTATTCTACTGTTACTTTGGACGCCCTCTTAATCTAAAGCCACCATGGAGAAGTATTTTCAGTGGTTATTGCACATTGATAGCAAAATTAGTAGGAAACAAATAATAGACCCACTGAAATATAAAAGTGCAAGGCATTGCCCTGGGTACCAAAGGAGCCTAACAGTTAAACATAGAGGATTGGATTTCTTGGTTATATATAACATTATCGTATTATATTTGTTTAAAATAAAGTTAATGCAGTTTTGAACTGCAGGTCTAAAACATGCAGGTCTAAAACACCCAGTTGGGTTATATTAAGGGATTATGCCACTATTTGAAGTACAATGAATCATCCGTCATGGTTATCTTTTGGTGACATGTGAATATATATTGGTGGCTTTTTGGGCCTTCACATATTGTTGACCGCTAATGAGCTGTGTCGGTGTCGCCCAAAAAAGTACACCCTGTTCTCATTTATTGTACGAATTAATAACTCATTGTTATAAATCTGATTTATTCAAGAAATTCAAGAAGGAAAAACTGAAGCATGACTGATTTGTTCCAGTGGAAAAAAGGGAAAGACACACAATAAACGTCTAAGTTATCATACTTACTGAGAGTAGTATTTTTTTTTTTTGTTTGTCCTGCAGTGATGTATTGAAGCTAGACTCTCTCAGGAACAGGCATAAATACAGAGAAATAATGAACAACTTAAGATCAATTGATATTCATTTGGTCCATTTTAGTTCAAATAATAAAGCTGGATTCACCTACATGCAACTACACCATATAACTAGAATGCAGTTGGTTTACATGATAAATCCCACGGTTAAGGGGCTGCAATTACAAACTTGCAGTATGCACAGTGTCATTATACTATATTGCTGGAATCAAATGGTTTATTGAGCATTCTTCAATAAGGCAAAAACTTACACATCTGCTTTTTTTCAGCACAGCTGCTAATAGACTCTATAAATCCTAGGATAAAGTGACAAGATGGATCTCAACATCTCAGATTGATTGTTACCAGCAATTACAAAGTAACATAAGCAAATTGTAAACGATGTGGAAACTGATAAATGTTAGTAGAAATGGTGATTCCCAAAATGTTTGGAGAGTCTAAGTGGAAAGTTCTAACTGCGGATATTTTCATTTATGACTCGTGAAAGTACCAGTAACCTAATATCCCAAAAAGAAACTCTGTAGCCTATACTTAATTACTTACACATTGCTACACTGTAATCAGGTAAAAACAATCCAATCGTTCAACTTAGTGGAGATTCATAGCATCAAAACTTCAGCAGAAGAGCAGTGACTTAATTCTTTGGTTTGCATCACAATTCATTGACCTTTTAAGGAAACAAGACACTGGAGGCATATCAGAATAGAATCCAAAACATTCATAAAAACCAGATGAGGGAAATAAACTAACAGTAGAAGTAAAAAGACAGAAAACTTCTCTTTCTCATAAAACTATTCTCCTTGTACCATTTCATACTGATATTTTGATAACCCTTGCCAGTTCGCCACAAATAATACTCTCTTAACTCATGCAATCGATAACTACTCCAGAAGATAATACTCATAGCCAAAGACGTAGTTACAAAATGTAACTGCTTATGCAAAGTTGGTCCTATTGATCATCAACTGCTGAAACTGAAAGGTGCATATATTTAGAATCCAAAACAAAATAAGGAGGATAAAAGTAGGAACCCTATGACATACATTAAGAACCTAATCATATCATCCATAAGAGTGAAAATTGGGATGCGCACCATCAATGCCGAACAGAGCCTTTGCCAGCGGAGAACTCATTGCAGAACGCGCATTAGGAAAATCGGCACTCCCATTCTCCATAATTGGCTTCCCCGGGAAGAACATGAGAGAAGCAGGATTTGGAGTGGACTGCGTTTGGATAAATATGTTCCTCCTCTGCCCTGTCATAGCTGAAGTTGTTACAAATTAATGATTAGAAAACATAAGCCTCCCTCCAACCCTATTAAGGGCAAAACAAAATCAACTGCAAAATTTGTGGTCGTAAAATCAGCAAAAAACAAGTTCAATACAATTCAATACTCGGATTTACAAAAGGTAAACGCATCTAAATGCAGATTAGGCTTGTAATTCAGGAAAAAAAAAAAAAAAAAAAA